ATACCGAATGATGCCGATTAAAAGATATCGACTAAAAGACGCCGATTAGAAGACACAGACCACAAAATACCGACTGAAAGATACCGTTTAAAAGATACCAACTAAAAGATACCGACTAGAAAATGCCGACTAAAAGATACACTAAGCCCAACGCCAAGCTTTAAATCGAAGCATTAATAGATTCCTTCTATGCAAACATGCGCCAAACACATTGACGCGCGCACGCACGGACGCGCGCACGCAAGAGCGCTCGACTGTGCTTCTTCTTCGTTATGCGCCAAAAACTATATATAGAAAATGCATCTTGCTTAACTTCGCTGTTTACAGTCCGATCTTTGTGAAACTTTCAGAGCCTGAAGATGGCAGCGAAAAGTGTGTGCATACCAAAGCCCAAGACTATGTCATCAAAGATGCGTATTTTTTCCATTTTCAAAGCAAGGTATCCAAAAAGTGAAAAATTATGAATTTATGTGTATTTCTAGATATTTTATATTCCAAACTAGTTGGCCTTCTCCATTCTGTCACATGCCTTTCTCCACAATCAAAATACCCTCCTCTCTGCGCATTTTCAATGGGCTCGGGGTATTAAAAAAGCCGGCTGGCATTGCCCGGCCGCGTGGTTTTTAATCTAATAAGCAATCAATGATGTGAAAAAATGACTGCGAAACCATTTTAAACGCTGCGGTGCACCACAGCGTGCCACAAGTACGTGCAACATTGGACGCGAGGGGGCACGTGGGCGATGCCGAAAGCAAGGGATTTGCCACGTTTTGCTCTCACTTTTTACCTCTCTTTTTTTTTGACATTTTGCGTTTTGTTTGCGGCGGCCTTTTTGTGTTCCCTTTTTTTTTTTTTTTTTTTGCTTATTTTTCGCTGCACTTGCACACAATTGTTGCATGCAACTCGTGCGGCGCGTGTGAAAAAAGCGACAACAGGAGACAGGAAAACACAGACCAGTGTCCAGTGGCTGCCCCGTGCGGCTTTTGTGTGTGCAGCAAGGGGCGACGGGGTGAGAGGGGCGCGGAGTTTGGATGCGGCAATATGCACATAAACTGTAAATGGCGGACAATGACAGTCTGCCAATTTATTAGGTGCCACAATTTATGACGTCAGCTACGATAACCAAATGACCAACTGCCTGGCTGCTCAGCCATATTTTTATTTGGTTTACATTTGCAAATTTCAGAATTTGTAACTTATTGAAATTTAGAACGTTTATTCAATCGAACCATTTAACATTGATGAAAGGGTATAATACCTTTGTGGAAGTGTATGTAACAGGCAGAAGGAGGCATAAATACTATATATATTCCTGATCAGGAGGATCAGCCAACTCCATTTGATGTCAGAAACTACAATAACTAAGGTCTTCAATTTGTAAATAAATATATTGCTATAGCCCAAGCAAAGCAAACTTTAAATCTATTATCGATATCTATTTCAATTTGTATTATCGATTGTGAGCTTTACATATGTTATCGATATCTACGTCAATTTGACTTATATCGATATCGAAATTATAAGAACTAGACACATCAAACTAGGTTCACTTGGGTTCTCGTGAAGCACACAAAGATTAATAATATTACAAATGTTTGGAAACCTTTTCCATAATTAAACAAGCAAAATCCTAATTTTTTAGAGTGTTTGCACTTACTTTTGTATGCCATAATTCAAGCCTTCAATATTTTAAAGATAACGTATTATGAATACCTGAGTTAATCAAGAATGCAATTGCCAGCTATTATCCCAAGGAAGATAAGAATGCGATAGAAAACATTGTCTACAAATTACAATTAGAGTTATTTGAATAGAACTAGCGAGCCGAAGGGAAGGCAAATTGTTGCGTATCTTTGTAATGCGTATCTTTGTTTATAAATGAGTGTGTGCGTGTGTATGTGCTTGAGTGTGTGTGTGTGTGTATGTGTTTGAGTGTGTGTGCATGTAGATTGCAATAATTTAAACTTTTATTGTTGCTATTGAGGCTGTTCGGGGGCAGCAGCTGGCTTGGGCGGCCATGTCTAGGCCTAATGCGCCTTTGCCTAGACAATACTTTTTTACCTAATCGCTTTTCCGCGCACACAAAGTTTCCCGTGTGTGTGTGTGTCTGTGTGTGTGTGTGCGAAAAGTTGCGTGTGTGCGTTGCAGCTGTGCGGCGCTTTTTGAAAAGTTAACGCATTATTTAGTCGATTGATTGCCAGCCCAGCCCCTAGTCCCTTCCCGCACTGAGCCTACCTCTGCTAATCGGTTTGTTTCATTTTAGTCTGTAAAAGTTTTTGTTTTTTGTTTTTTGCTGTCGGTTGTATAAATTACCGCAGTTTTTAACAAACAATGATAAAAATTTAAAGTATTGTTCTGCTTTTTATTGAGCGCAAGACGGCGCCGGGCGGACCAAGAGTTCAGTCAGATTCCGCAATTGCAGGCAATTAGTCTGCAAAGTGCAAAAAAAAAAAAAAGACAAAACAAATGAAAGCTAAATGATTAGCTACAGTATTTGAGCTTAGGTCTGCTTGGCTTTAAGAAAGGCCTTAGATTTGTCGTGTGTTTAAGGAATAAACTGAGAAGGCGCTAGGTTTTCTTTTTTTTTAATACTCTCTTAATAATTCGATAAGATTAGCTTCATATAATAAAACTGTTCCTGCCTAGTTTGCTGAGATCTGAGGAAGACTGCAATTTCTACAGAAGCAAGAATGTAAACGTGAGCACAGAGACCTGCATGGCTTGAAGCTTTAGCGTCGAACTGGCAAGCGAGAGTTTGCTAGCTCAAATTCTGCAGAAATTCTAAATTCACATTTCTTTACTTATAATATTGTTCTATATGTCTTTTTATGCCCAAAGCAGACATCTCCGAACCCTTAAATTATATATATATTCCAGATCCGCATCAACAGCCGAGCTTATATATATATGGATCCATCTGTTAGTCTATACGCAATTTTATAAAATAAAAAACTTGTTCATACAAGAACTTAACTTCAGATCAATCGATTCAAGTACAACTGTCTGATAAAGTTTATCTGATACTGTCTATCAGATATAGTATATATATAGTCCGACCTCAATTTAGGTATATATTTTCTACAATCTAAGACGATTTAAGCCCTATATCTAATCAACGTACTAGCATGAAAAAAGAGATAGACAAAGACAAGACAAAGGCAACACAAAGACCAGAGACAAGTGTTCGTAGAATCATCTATTTTCATTTCTACCGAAAAAATAAACATACCCTATACAAGAGTATTATTATAATACAATTTTAATGACTTTTATGCACATTCAAAACTATTTGCCGCTCACTTGAGCTTTATTTTTTTTGAACATTATTCAAAATTAGTTTCTTAAAATGTGTTGCCGAATTTTCCGATTGTTGGCTAATATGCAAAATTATTGAACTGTTGTCTGAAGTACTTAACGATTTTTCTGTTATTATTGCATGCAACATTTTTCAAATGCAACAAATCCCAGCAACTGCCCACCCGTCCCCCTCTCCACCCCTCACACACACACACACACACATGCATATAGAGAGCATCTTTTATAATGTGGGCAACGTTTCACATTTTGCCATATAAATATACTTATGCACCGGCAACATTTGCCTATTATCGTTGTAAATCGAGTGGGCGTGGCAAGGGGCGCATATACATCCTCATATATACGTTAAGCTGTTATTGCCGATCGGCATACACACACACACACACACACACACGCGCACACACTGTCGTGCATATATGAAATATAATAAAATTGTACAGGAAATGACGAACAAGTGCAGAGGAGAAGTCCTCATGTGCCCCCGATTTCTCTGCCCGTACAACATTTTAACCATGGATGGTTTGATTATTAAATCCATGAAGTTTTTATATGCCCCGGACACACACACACACACACGCGCGCACATATTGAAATTCACTTGATTGCAGTTTTCAAGTGAAATCGTAGCACACTTCAGAGCGCTTGTTGGCTTGCCTAAGGGTTAAGGCGGATAAGGGGCTTTGGGGCCTGTTGGCGAAAAGAAGGGGGGGGGGGGCGATGGGGTAGATGAGTGGAGCATCGGAAATATGCCGCTTGTTGCTGTCGGAGGCGCCACAGCCTGCTGCAGCTGCCGTTGTAATTCATGTTTCGAGTAGCAAAATGCGCGCCAAAAACTTTATTTGTTGTTGCACGAATTTTAATGAAGCAGCAAGTTTTGCGACTAAATCAAATTAAAAGTGCGGCACACACACGCACACACACACACAGACACAGGCGCACACACACACTCTGGCCGAGGAAATGAGCTCGACGTTGGCTTACAAAACTAATGCAAGTTTTTGCCTGCATCCGTCTTCGTATTTGGTTTGTCAACTGCCTTTTGCCTGGCTTAAGCACTCAATAATGCTTTTCACGCTAATTAATTTTTGGTTACACGCAAATTCTAGTAGGCACACACACATATTCACACACTTAAATACTTTGATAATTTCCTGTGCAACATCCTCGAAATTAGAATTGATTTGTTCAATTGAGCATGCAACCTAGTTCTAATTGAACAAGAACAGTTCCACTGGAATGTGTGGAATGGTATGGAAATTGAATGGAAATAGGGCTAAGCACTTCATACTAGTTTTAAGTCGTCGGGAATTGCTTTACCCATATCCGACCGACTGTCCTTCTGTATGAACTTTAGGAGCTACTTGAAAACTAACTCTAAATTGCATTTACGAAACAATTCCACTGGAATGTGTGAAATGAAATGGAATGGAAATATAATGGAAACCTTTTTGAGCAAATTAATGTAACTGAATAAGAATTTCCCCATGTCTCTCCATCTAGTTGTAAATTGCACTCACAAAAAAATTCCACTGGACTTAATGGAATATAAAGGAATTGTAATGGAAATGAAATAGAAATGGAGCTTGACCACTGAATTATGTATTTAAAGAAATGTATGTCACCGGGGATACAGTTTTACGTTTTAATCGCATACTTAAGTGTAAAGTTTTTCTGAGACTTACCATTTATTCAATATTTACAATCTTGATAGTCCAACAAAAACCGGATGAAGCAAAATATTTCTATTTGTTGGATTAGGACCCGCGTTCATAACAAATATGTATATACGATATCTGTAAAAAGAGGAGTTGCTTTTGAAGTAAAATATAAGTTAATTTAGAAAGACGAACTACAAAGCTCAAGTTGGGTGAAGTAAGCCGCAGACTACTTTATATCATTTCTATTAATATTTTTTGATGATTAGAAAAGAGTTTTGCGCTTTGGCCACATGTCGCTATTTCCTGCTGTGAATTTGTTTAAATTGCATTGCGTTTGCTTTGGGCTGAGCGAATCACAAAATTTGTGGCAACAACCACCGCACTCGAGTCGTGCGACGCCCCGCGGCCAAACTAGAGCGGAGCCACGCCACACAAGTGCCGCAAAAGTGGAAGTTAAGAGCATGGAGAGGGGTTGGGTTTTGGCAGGAGAGGGTTTCGTTTTGGGCTGAAGTGTGAGATAGGTTAGGACGAAGAGGCTGGCAGACTGTTTGCCACTTTTTACGCCCAATTGATGTGGGCTTAACGCCTCAATGCTTACGAACTGCGATCTAGTGGGGAGAGAGAGAGGTGGAAAGAAGGGTGGGGCTGGAGAAAGCGCTGTCTCAAAGGTTTCAATTGCGTTGACTGCAACGCCTTTTTCCTGGCTCCTTGACACTGGGGGCGTACTTTGTTTATTACATTTAACGCAGGTTTTTTTTTTGCTTATTTTTTGGCGTAGACGTCTGCAGCAACAAAATGGCGGAAATGCCAAAAATTTTGGATAATTTAATTTAAAGCGCGTCGTCAACGGAAGGGTCTCAAATGCAGAGGTTGTTGTTGTTGTTGCTGTTGCGGTGGCTGCAAAATTGCCATAAATGCCAGCGACTATTGAGACTAATCACGCTAATGCGCAAGTTTGTCGCAAAGACGAACGACAGATGGCGCTGCAGGTGTGTGTAACTGTGTGTGTGTGTGTGTGTGCGTGTGTGTGCGTGTGTGTGCCTGTTATCCAGCTGCCTTCAATAATACGTACGCCAAATGCCAAATAATTTATTTATTATATGTGCAACTGACCAAAGCAGTACAGCACACACACACACACAACTACACGCTCTCACACACACACACACACACACACACCTGTACACACATACATGCACACACATTGAGCGCGCTTTTGCAGCACACGCACTGAACGAGATTTCATTACAACTCATTTGACAGTCTTGGTGCACTCGACGCTGCCAAAATGTCATACCTGAGTGGCAGCAGTGCCACGCCCACCCCACCCCCCGGCAACATCGCTACCCCCACTCCTAACCCTACCCGCACCACTAACCCTCTAACAGCCACTGCTGCAGATTAGCGCACAACTGTGTGTGCGTGCGTGTGAGTGCGGAGCCAACGCGAAATTAAGCGAAATGAAGTTGACCACGTTTCGATTTTGCATCAAAGCCAAACGCAGTCTCGCAGCCGCTGCTTAACTCGACACACACACACACCCCGCCCCGCCCCTACACGGAACACCTTGACCCATCAATATACACCCAAACAAAACACCCAACAGTGTTGTCAAACGTGGCCAAGTATTGGACAGCTACAAAAAGCCTATGAACTAAGTATTATAGAATCAGTCGCAGCTTTTCTTATGCAGAACTTAAAGTCTGGATTATTCAGCCTATTTTTAATGTTGAATTCAATAAATTTTGAAAAAATATTTAAAGTCTAAAGTCAAATTTGGCTGGAAAGACCATTGTGTGAAACTGAGCGCTATAAAAAAAGCTACAAATAGCTGAAAAGAAAATAGCCAAAGTTGCAGGCAACTGCAAGCTTCTCTAAAGAAAGTCAAATTTAGCTAGAAAAAAGCTGCATGGGCAGCACTGACCACCACGCTCTTACGCCCAGTTCTCGCAGTTCAGTGGCCAGTGGCTCGGCTCAGCTGCAGCAGCAACTGCAACTGCAACTGGCTGGCCCCATGCATTGTTAATACAATTCGAGTCCAACGTCAATAACCAAGTGCCACGAATGGACCATTAGTTGGCTGCGTAGTTGATGTGCAACGTGCAGCAATTGTTGTTGTTGTTGCTGTTGCAGTTGGCCCGCTTTGATGGCTGCAACGTTTCTTCGCTTTGCTGCACAAACACACACGCATACACACACAGAGAGAGATATACACCTGTATATACATATCTACATTTATGTATTCTATATATTCACATATACACATATAATTATGCGGCTTAGCTATATCCTATTTGGTTTCTCTCGATTCGAGCTGTGGTCTCAACAACCAATTGAATAAAGCAATTGCCAGAAATGCACGCACAAATAATAAGCGATCAATTAATATGGCAATTGATTCGAAAATAGATTCTATGAAAAGTTTAAAGCGGAATTCATTTTATTAACTGTGTTTATTTGTGGGTATTTGGCATTGTTTTTTATACTAACGCACAATTCAGAGGCTTGCGTTGGGCGCCAAATAAAAACTGTTTACTGGTAAAAGCATTAAAAACTGTAGTTCAACAAATAAATAGAATTTTTAGATGCATATTGCTATGTGGATAACAATCCTTTACATATATTTTGTGCCTTTGAGATTAAGACCGGAGTTGAACCACTGACCTCTCGGTTGCTGGTCTGACTCTCTCAGGAACCTAAGCTACGCAGGCTCATGACGTTTGCAAGGCTCAGTTCAATGACTATGTTGTTGTTAAAACAAAACCTCGTCTTAGGTCTGACGTACGGCCCCAAGTGGATGTAATACAATAAAATATTAAATTACATTACAGAATGTTTATTGCCTAATGCTTTTACGAAAATGTAAATTTAAAAATAAACTAAAAGTTCTGACCAAAAGAACTCAAAACTTTACAGAATAACTCTGTCTAGCATTTTACTGGATGTTCAGACATCTTAGCCAAATAAAGTAATTTGACTTTTGGGCTACAAAAGATAACCAAAAACAACTTAATATTATATATAATTTATGTGCAAGAGCGAATGGCGAGTCTTGAGACTTGTGATTTGCATGTCTGGCGCCCATAAAAGTATGCAACAATTTTCGGCCAACATAAGAGCAGTGCGCTTTGTCTGGCAGCAGACGAGGAAGCGGCTAAAACGAGAACAACAACAACAACAGTAGGAACTTAACTGCCACTCAGCCACGCAGTCACATGGCAAACTTACAAGTAATACTTAGCCTAAATGGGCACAAGTGGCCCTTCGAGTGGCCTCACGAGTCGGTGCCTAACTACTTGATATGTTATATGATGCGAAATTTTTGTAATGAAGTTATTGACAAGCCCCCCCACAGCCTCCCCCTTCGATCTGACAGATGGGGCACAGCAACGTCTAGTGGGCATAGTTAGACACGTTTAAGGATATGTGGAACAATATGCAAATGTTACTTTGTTATGCAATTAGTGAATTCAATACGAGGCACTCGGCAAACGGTACTCGGCAAACAGACAGCGTCAGCAACGGTAAAAGCAGCGGTTACAATAACGGTAACGGTAACCGTAACGTCAACGTCAACGACATAGCCACTCGAGCAGGCACTGCAGTTAAATGTACCGTTAGCATTCGGAATCGAAGCTATTATATGGTTACGAACTGGTTCGAAACTATTAAAACTACAATTATACGAACAAATAATGCCCTGCATTTAGCCCAAATTAAATATTATACAATTTGAAACTTAGTCAACACAAAAGTTAGATAGTTTCCTATAATAATTGGCCCCAATATCAACCCAATATGGCCCTGCAATTTGCAGTTATTAAGTTAACTGGCGCAGAGTTCGCTACAAATTGACCCTTAGCCTTATTTTGTTCTAGAAAACTAACCTAATTTTGTTAACTAATCTATCGCAATTTTTATAATAAAAGAATTTCGGATTAAATATAGTCAAATCAGATCGAATAAAACTAACTAGAGAGTTAATCACAGAACAGCTGAAGCCGAGTAAAACCAGTTCATTTTCTGTAGATTGCATAGCATCAGACAACTAAGAAAACCATATTAACTCGGCTGTAGAATTACATATAGTGACGTCACATTATCAAGGGCTGGTCTTAACAGAAGACGCTCACACTGGCAACAGGTCCCATGTATGTAAAATATTGATTATGTTAAATATAACTGTTAAAAGGCGGACTGTAATTATCGTTGAACATGCAGAGAACTGCAGCAAGAATTGTACAGACATACATACATACAATCGATTTGGTAGAGACGGACACAAATCAACTTAATCAGCCTCTCACAATTTATACATATTTTATGGCATCGCAGAAAATCGATCATAGCCTCAATGCGCAATTATGCAATCAATTCAATGCTCACTTATCCATCTCGCTTTCATCCTCTTTCTGACATTTTCGTCGTCTTCTTCTTCATTTTCTTCTCAATGCCCACATATATATCTCTCTCGCTTGCGCTCGCTTGCTAACATTCTCATCCTTTACTTCCTTTTCTTCGCGGCAATCAATTCAAAGCCCACTATATATATCTATCTCGCTTTCGCCCTCTAACATGCTCTTCTTCTTATCTTTCTTCTCTGCAGGCAAAAATGATGGAGAACTCGCACGCTTGGATGGGCGCCACCGGCTCCACGCTAGCAGGTTTGTACGACGCAAAGTAAACTGTAAGCTTCTTGCACTTACCCGAGCTTTATGCGCCGTTATGTTTTGTTTGCCACCTCCAGCAGACAGCTATCAATATCAGCTGCAGTCGATGTGGCAAAAATGCTGGAACACCAATCAGAATCTGATGCATCATATGCGCTTTCGGGAGCGCGGCCCGCTCAAATCGTGGCGGCCCGAGACGATGGCCGAGGCCATATTCAGCGTGCTGAAGGAGGGCCTGTCGCTGTCGCAGGCGGCGCGCAAATATGATATACCCTATCCGACGTTTGTGCTGTATGCGAATCGGGTGCACAATATGCTGGGACCGTCGATCGATGGCGGGCCCGATTTGCGGCCGAAGGGGCGCGGGCGGCCGCAGCGCATACTGTTGGGCATCTGGCCGGATGAGCACATCAAGGGCGTCATTAAGACGGTCGTTTTTCGCGATACCAAGGACTTGAAGGACGACAGTTTGGGCGCGCATCTGCCACCGTACGGCCGCCATTCGGTATGTAGCAGGAAAAACACAAAACAATTCACAAACACTTTCACTTTAAACAAAAATATTACACACACGCGAGTTAATTAGCGCGTCCCCTTTTTTCCGATTAATTCGGTATCGATTAATACGTGACAGCTGAGTCCTCTTTAAGCGGCCTGTTAAGCTTTACATTCGATGTTAGATCAATTCAGTATCGATTAACACCTGTTTCTGGTAGATAACAGCGCTTCCTCTAAGCGGCATGTTAAGCTTTACGAGTAATGTTAGATCAGTGCAACTTTTAATGTAGGTGGATAACAGCGCTGTCTTTAAGCGCCCTGTTAAGCTTTACAATTTAGATCAACACGAAATCGATTAACAGCGTCAATCAAGGCACAGGCATGTGTTCGAGAGTGAAGATTTACAGTAGTTATTTATACTTCGAAGAATTTTAAAGCAGGGATCCGCTTGTGTTGAATTAGTTGACAGACAGCGATGGCTTACAGTGAAATGTTAAGCTCAATAGAAAATATCGATACTTGCTGTCGTAAATCGATTATTAGCAACCAACTTAACAAGCTCCCAATTCGAAAGTGGCAGGTTTTTGTTTTTTAATGGTTTCTATTAAAATGGCCAACACATGCACTAAACTGTTGATCGGGTTAGCCCGTGTTTCCCTTGCAGGACATGACGTTAAGCTATCCAGGCGCTAGTGGCGGCATGCCGGTCGGCGGCGCCGCCAGCCTCGGCGCTCTGGCCTGCCCGAATGGCATGGGCAGCGGCGGTGGAGGAGGCGCTGCCGTTGGGGCAGGCGGCGGTGGTGGGGATCAGCAAATGTCCCAGGAGCAAATGTCAGCGGTGGCCGCCGTTGCGCACAATATACGTCAGCAGATGCAAATGGCCGCCGCAGCGCAGCATCAGCACGGGGAGGCGGGGCCGCCGCCGCCGCCGGGGGCTCTGTTCAATTTGCCGCCGCATCTGGCGGGTGGCGGCGGGCCGGGCAGGGCCAGTATATCGCCGGCATTGAGCAGCGGCTCAAATCCCTCAATGGGACCGCGGCATGCGCCCTCGCCCTGCGGTCCCGCCGGCCTCATGCCGAATCTGCCGCCCAGCATGGCCGTTGCACTGCATCGTGATCCGGCCGCCGCCGCGCTGCTCAGCCAGCAGCAGCAGCATCACCTCCAGCAGCTCCAGCTGCATCAGCAGCACCAGCAACAGCAGCAACAACAACAACAACAGCAGCACGCTTTACACCAGCAACAGGCGCAGGCAGCGGCAGCAGCAGCAGCTGCTGCAGCGGCGGCGGCGGCTGCGGCGCATCCGCATCACATGCAGCCACACAAATCCGGTTTCGGTGCCAGTTCCATGCCCACAGCCAGCGCTGGCTCCTCCGTTGCCCAGCAGCAGCAGCAGCTGGACAAGTCCAAGTCGAAGGGTAGTCCGCTGCGCAGCGAGACGCCGCGCCTGCACTCGCCGCTCGCCGAGCTGGGCCTGGAGCTGGGCTACAAGCGCGAGTTCTCGCCCACGCGCCTCTTTGCCGAGGATCTGGCTGAGCTGGTGGGCGTGGCGCCCGCCTCGACAAGCAGCGCAACGACGCCGTCAACCGGTCAACCCACAGCCGGAGTAAGCGGAGCGACCACCACGGACATCTGCTCCGGCAGCAGCAGCGGCGGCGGCGGCATCAAGGTGGAGCCCATTACGACAAGCAGCGAGTAAAGGACCTACCAAAAAAAAACTCCCAACTCAAACTAAACAATCAAACGCGCGCCAGAAAAAGTGCTGCCCATTTCTGGTGCGAAAGCTTTGCAGCAAGCGCAAGCAGCATTAAAAGTGTTACCCATTTCTTTCAAGCAATTGAGATTTGAGAATTGAATTTTTCAAATATTTGATTTAACTTTTTACTAAATAGTATTTAAAAGGAAATGCATATATATATAAATTTGTATATTTATTGATGTGCATTTCGAACGCGCGTTCCTCGTTTTTTGTCGGTCCACATGAATTTTATTGCAAAGTTTCTAATTTAAAATGAACTACGTATTAAAAACTAAATCAAAAGTATTATTATGTTATATAGCGCCTAAACTTAAATAATTAAATAGCGATCTCTTTAATTTTTAATAGTACATGCAAAACTCTAAAATACCCCGGAACATTCCACTGCAAACACAACACAAAACCGTTTTTCAAAACCTAAAACTAAAAAATAAACATTAAAAACAAAATCAAAAACTAATATTAAAAATAAAAGAAAATCGTATTAAAATATTAACAATTGTGTGCCCAGTTTTATTTAGTTTTTAATAAAAAAAATATGTACAAAAAATTAAAAAAAAAAAAAATTAAAACTTTTGGATGTGCATTAAAACAAAAAAAAAGAAAAAACAAAACTAAGGAGAAAACTGAAAATTGCAACTAAATTTAATGTTTAGGTCTTAAAAAAACAAACAAAAAAAAACAAAAACAATGAAATTCACAAAAAATGCCTTTCGGAATTCAATTCAGAGACAAACAAAAATGAGAAATTGTTAGATTAAAAAACCCAAAAAAAAAAAAACAAAATTTGTAAATTAAAAGTGAATTTTTTAAAAAACAAACAACTTTAAAGTATTTATACAAAAAAAATGAAACAAAAAATTTAGCGAAAATTGTGAAAATGAAATTTAGAAGCAAAATTTACTCAAAACGAAAGTTGTTGTGCACTCAAAAAAATTGGGGCTTTTTTTTTTCTATAAATTTAAATGTATTTTAATTAAGCTCGAAGATGTCTTATTTTAAGCGTTACACAATTCGTGGTGAAATTTTAATACCCTGTACAAGGGCATAAGGGCTAGTCGGTCAAGCCCGACCTTTTTTAGTTAACAAATTCTTTTCCACTTAAATTTTCTAATCTTCTAAAGTGCCTTTTCTAGACTTAATTTGATTTTAGGCGCATTTGAAATTTTTATTTTATTTCTTTTAATATTTTTTTAATATTATTTTTTTTATTTTTTAATGTTTAAATTAATATAAACAACAACTTTCGTGAACTTGTTTAGCAAAAGTCTGGCATATACATGAATATTAAAAAAAAATATATTTTTGAATAAATATAAAAGTATTTGTTTTTCTGTTAAAAAATAAAAGAAAACAACTTTTAGGCGTACTTTCGGCAACATTTTTTATATATTTTTTAAAGAAAAAAAAAAACACAAAATCAAGAAGAAGAAGAAGCAGCAGCAGCCCTCATTTAAAGCACACAATAAATAAAACGATTTAAAAGAAATGTAAACGTAAAAAATAGAAAAACTTTTTACCATAAAAAAAAACAAGCGGCAAATAAAAATCAAATCTAAAAAAAAAAACTTAAGTATTTATACAGCAATAGCCATAGCCATATAGACAGACACATATATATATGTATGTATGTATGTATGTAATACCCATATGATAAACCACGCCCCCAACCCCAACCCCCCCTCCCACTCAAATAGACTCCAATGTTCCACAAAAACAAAACCCTTCCAACTTTGGTCTATTACGAGTATTAAAAAAACTAAAAAAAAAATAAATAAAAAAAAAATAATTTTTAAAGCTAACCCGAATTCTCCAGGAATTAAATATCATTATTATTATGCGAACCGGACACGTGTCACGTTTTTCAGTTTTCTATCAACTTTAGTGCAAAACTTTATGTTCAAATTAACTTTAAATGTCGAAATGAATGTTCTTATTAATCTAATAACAAAAAAAAAATTAAAAAAATAAAAATAAAATAAAAAAAAAATAAATAAAATATTTTATAAAAACGAACTGAAAAAGAGTTTGAGTTTTGTTTCTCTTTACGGGACTCGTGGAACCACTCGGTGCCTTATAAGGCAGTATTTTTGGGGGATAATTCCACCCGCATGTGTGGAAAAAACGCGGAATGAATTTTTATAAAACTTTTTTGCCCGAAAAAATTTCTTTAATACGTGGGACAGTCAAGGCCTGAAATATACCCTCAAATATCCGATATATACATCGATCGAAATTTCCCACCTCCATAACTCAGCCAAAAATCAACTGATTTTCACGCGGCTTGGCTTTTTGTGCATGGTTTTCCCTCTAAAATAATCTGGCATTTAAATCTGATCACGCTTTTTTTTGTCGATATTCATGTAAATTTGACCCCTAGGATTCGTGTATCGACATGGGTCGAAATTTCCCAGCTCCATAGCTCGGCCAAAAATCAACCGATTTTCATGCGGCTTGGCTTTTTGTGCATGGTTTTCCCTCTAAAAAAATCTGGCATTTTTATCTGAACACATATTTTTGGGTCGAAATTCATGTCAAAATCTTACCCCTAGGATTCGTGTATCGCCATGGGTCGAAATTTCCCACCTCCATAACTCGGCCAAAAATCAACCGATTTTCATGCGGCTTGGCTTTTTGTGCATGGTTTTCCCTCTAAAATAATCTGGCATTTTTATCTGAACACATATTTTTGGGTCGAAATTCATGTCAAAATCTTACCCCTAGGATTCGTATATCGACATGGGTCGAAATTTCCCACCTCCATAACTCGGCCAAAAATCAACCGATTTTCATGCGGCTTGGCTTTTTGTACATGGTTTTCCCTCTAAAATAATCTGGCATTTAAATCTGAACACATAATTTTTTTGTCGAAATTCATGTAAATTTGACCCCTAGGATTCGTATATTGACATGGGTCGAAATTTCCCACCTCCATAACTCAGCCAAAAATCAACTGATTTTCACGCGGCTTGGCTTTTTGTGCATGGTTTTCCCTCTTAAATAATCTGGCATTTAAATCTGATCACGCTTTTTTTTGTCGAAATTCATGTAAATTTGACCCCTAGGATTCGTGTATCGACATGGGTCGAAATTTCCCACCTCCATAACTCGACCAAAAATCAACCGATTTTCATGCGGCTTGGCTTTTTGTGCATGGTTTTCCCTCTAAAATAATCTGGCATTTTTATCTGAACACATATTTTTGGGTCGAAATTCATGTCAAAATCTTACCCCTAGGATTCGTGTATCGACATGGGTCGAAATTTCCCACCTCCATAACTCGGCCAAAAATCAACCGATTTTCATGCGGCTTGGCTTTTTGTGCATGGTTTTCCCTCTAAAACAATCTGGCATTTTTATCTGAACACATATTTTTGGGTCGAAATTCATGTCAAAATCTTACCCCTAGGATTCGTATATCGACATGGGTCGAAATTTCCCAGCTCCATAACTCGGCCAAAAATCAACCGATTTTCATGCGGCTTGGCTTTTTGTGCATGGTTTTCCCTCTAAAATAATCTGGCATTTTTATCTGAACACATATTTTTGGGTCGAAATTCATGTCAAAATCTTACCCCTAGGATTCGTGTATCGACATGGGTCGAAATTTCCCACCTCCATAACTCGGCCAAAAATCAACCGATTTTCATGCGGCTTGGCTTTTTGTGCATGGTTTTCCCTCTAAAACAATCTGGCATTTTTATCTGAACACATATTTTTGGGTCGAAATTCATGTCAAAATCTTACCCCTAGGATTCGTATATCGACATGGGTCGAAATTTCCCAGCTCCATAACTCGGCCAAAAATCAACCGATTTTCATGCGGCTTGGCTTTTTGTGCATGGTTTTCCCTCTAAAATAATCTGGCATTTTTATCTGAACACATATTTTTGGGTCGAAATTCATGTCAAAATCTAACCCCTAGAATTCGTATATTAACATGGGTCGAAATTTCCCAACTCCATAACTCGGCCAAAAATCAACCGATTTTCACCAGGATTGGCTTTTTGTTTATGGTTTTCCCTCTAAAATAATCTGGCATTTTTATCTGAACACATATTTTTGGGTCGAAATTCATGTCAAAATCTTACCCCTAGGATTCGTGTATCGACATGGGTCGAAATTTCCCACCTCCATAACTCGGCCAAAAATCAACCGATTTTCATGCGGCTTGGCTTTTTGTGCATGGTTTTCCCTCTAAAACAATCTGGCATTTTTATCTGAACACATATTTTTGGGTCGAAATTCATGTCAAAATCTTACCCCTAGGATTCGTATATCGACATGGGTCGAAATTTCCCAGCTCCATAACTCGGCCAAAAATCAACCGATTTTCATGCGGCTTGGCTTTTTGTGCATGGTTTTCCCTCTAAAACAATCTGGCATTTTTATCTGAACACATATTTTTGGGTCGAAATTCATGTCAAAATCTTACCCCTAGGATTCGTATATCGACATGGGTCGAAATTTCCCAGCTCCATAACTCGCCCAAAAATCAACCGATTTTCATGCGGCTTGGCTTTTTGTGCATGGTTTTCTCTCTAAAATAATCTGGCATTTTTATCTGAACACATATTTTTGGGTCGAAATTCATGTCAAAATCTTACCCCTAGGATTCGTGTATCGACATGGGTCGAAATTTCCCACCTCCATAACTCGGCCAAAAATCAACCGATTTTCATGCGGCTTGGCTTTTTGTACATGGTTTTCCCACTAAAATAATCTGGCATTTAAATCTGAACACATAATTTTTTTGTCGAAATTCATGTAAATTTGATCCCTAGGATTCGTATATTGACATGGGTCGAAATTTCCCAGCTCCATAACTCAGCCAAAAATCTACCGATTTTCTCCAGGATTGGCTTTTTATTTATGGTTTTCCCTCTTAAATAATCTGGCATTTAAATCTGGTCATGCATTTTTTGGCGAAATCCGTGTCAAGAGAAAAATGTAATTCCAAAAAGTTTCGACTTGAATGGGAAATCTTTTATTTAGTACAGAAAATACAGTAAGTATTTTTGGTATTATTATTATTTTAATATTATTTAAATAAATTTTTAAAGCTCGAAAAAACAACCAATTTGATGTGATTAAGCTAGCAGTTGGTATTTTTTCAGTATTTTTTGGGTATTTTCTAAAACCCGTTAAAATTTAAACGAGAAAAAGAAGCGGCTAATTTTGCGCTTTTATATTTTGTCAAGGCAATTGAATGGAATCAAAAACAGTATTTACAGTATTTGCTTAGCATACACACACATACACATACACGCACACACAGACACATAGAACAAGGCGAATTTATTGCTTTGATTTCATGAAATGCTTAGCTGAGCTAAAGTAGCAACTGCTATTGAAGAGCCAGCCCCATGCTCGGGGGCGTCATCTCGCCCGAGGGCTGATTGATCTCCTGATGGCGCTGGAGGAGACTGAGACACTGATGCAGGCACTGGGTGCTGGCCGTGGAGATGGCCTTGAGCAGCAACAGATCCGGATCCGTGGGCGAAAAGGAAGCACAGTCAATATTCTCAATGGCGCGCGCCAGCGAAGCATTGCTGCAGAAGAAACAATTAAAACGGAGCAAACAAAGGAAGTGTGTGTGAACTGGACCCACCACTGCTCGGTGAGGAAGAGCGCCTGGCGAGCCGAGACCATCGCATCGGAGGCGGCCAGCAGCTCGCGCGGCGGCAGCGGCGAGGAATTGCTTATGTCCATGGCCTGCGTATGGCTCTCGACCACGGCGCGCAGCCCGTCGACCCATTCCTGGCGCGCCCGTGCATCGTTCGCACGCAACTTGACCGTATCGCCGGAGGCGCAGGCAATGGAGAATGTCCGTGAATCCTCATCACTTGGATAGACGACAGCGCCGGCCAGCTGCACCTGGCCGCGCGGCGTGCTGGCCAGGACATGCGGCGACGGCGCAATATCCTCGCCCACCGACGACGAATCGCACAGATAGTAGCTGAGAAAGCCCGTCTTGGCGTCCACCGTGAACCAGCGGTACTGCCAGCCTGCAAGAGAGTTGAACCAGTTACTTTTGTGAATGCAAATGCAGGAGCAGGTGTTAAAAGGAAGAACCTGAGGCCAGGGCCAGAGCCGAGTGAGAGTGACATACCCTTCATCACATTCGTGTACTTGCTGAGCTGGCCGCTGAGCGGATGACGCAGCGACTGATTAATCATGCGATTCAGTTGGCTTTCCATTTGGCAGCAGGAGCTGTTGGCGGCGGCGGGCTCCTTTTTCCGGGCGTCGTCCTGGTGACAGCTGCGCTTCGTCTCCGGCTGTGCCTGTTGCTGTACTGGCTTTTCTTTGCGTCGGGGCTTTTTGCGTTGGAGTGCCGCTTTGATTTTGCGCAGAATTTTTGCAATTTATTGTGGTTTTAAGAAGAAAACAAAAAATTATATAGAAATTATAAAACGCTTATGGCAAATTTATTATGGTTGCAGTGTTGCCAGCTTGTCGAAAACAGCTGTTGCAAGCAGCTGTTAGCCTGAAAAAATACCAATATCACATTTTATGTATGCTCTAGCCATTTAAGCGCTACTGCTCGCTGGTCACACTGTTTGCACAGTTACATTGCCATTTCGAGTTTAACATGAGCAACCAACATCATTAACAGTGCAACAACAAAGCGAAGGAAGGCGCATAAATTTCGCAAAATTTTGTTGCTCCGCAAATTGTTTAAACAAAAACGTCCAGTGTAAACAAAAATTATGTGAATGTGCACAGTGTCGCCGACATTTAAACAATGCAAACGCGCGTGCAATGGTAATGTGTGTGTGCATTCAGAACAAACGCTTCGTCAACGAGTGAAAAAAATCAATTTGTATCCCAGAAGCGTTTGTGTTGAGTGAAGAAGAAGAAGAAGAAGAAGACGACGACGAAGAAGCATAAGCGAAGAAGTGGTAGAAGGTGGGAAAGAGAGGGCGACCAGACAAGACGCAGAATATCTCAAACGAATTGAAACGAAACTCTGTGAAAAGATGTGCTGCTGCGGCCGCTGGGCGCTGATGATGTGATGTTGATGGAGTTCATTGCGTTTGCTGCTACATAAAACCAAAAAACACATATTGTAAATGGCAATTAAAAGCGACGCGAACAGGCATTAAAAATTATTAAACTTTGCGCGGGTTGTGCAGCTGCAAAAAACCAAAAAAAAAAAATCCGATTTGTTTGTGTCGTCGCCCCCTCTGCCACCAGCTTGTGTTTTAAAAATAAGAATAAGCGCATATGTGTGCGTGTGTGTGTGTGTGTATACTTATATATATATCCGCGTTTATGTTTTATGCGGCCGTTGCGTGACGCGCCGTCGAGTTGATTTATGACATTTAACATTTACCCGCTATTTGGTAGGGGGTGGCTCCTGTCGCATGTGTATGTGTGTGTCGCCCTATCTGTCTGTCTGTGCATGCGTGTGCGTGTGTTTGTGTGTGTTTGTGTTGTAGGGGTCGAATGTTGCCCATATGATAAAATTTGCTTCAAATGTAATTAATATGCTGCACGTTGAGTGTGACCGTTTGTAAACTTGCCTAATTTTTGTCTTGTGCTGCCTTTTTCATTCTCCAAACAAACCACCCACACGCACACATAAACAAACACCTACTCATACACACACACACACACACATACACACAGAGAGCCGCCGCTGCTGCTGCGTTGACCATGAAAAATGCCAGCGAGAAATTTGCGAAAATCAATGAAAGCCTTCAAAGCAAGCAAAAGTGTAACAGTAATAATAGCAACAACAACAACAACAACAACAATAATAATAAATATTTCAAATTAAGTGAAATTGAAGGCGATTCCGTTATGCTGCGCTGCCCTCACAATAGTTAAAGACTATTAAAAACAACTCGGCCTCAGCTTTAACAGCTGCTCCCTACCCGCCCCCACCTCCTCCTCCACCCTCGCACACAACAACAACAACATGGATGGTCAACGTGCTCGCGATCTGCTGACGCTTCTGCAGGAGCGCGTCGTATTTCTCACTGGCGGACGCGACAGGCGCGGCGGACCGTTATTATGCTTTCCGGCAACGCCGCGCAGGGATCGGCTTAAACCGGAGGATTTGCGTCGCCTGCTCAGCTACTTGATTAGCATACCGAGGTGAGTACAAAGTAATTTATGTAAACAATCGATACTGCATATCTGCGATAATCGATTCCTTTTTATTTTGGCAAGAAGCAGCAGCTGCAACAGCAGCAGCAGCAGCAGCAGTAACAGAACATGTTTATTTATACGACGTTTGCTCTCTCGCTCGCTCGCACGCACAGCCCGGCAGCCGGCCCCATGGCGCATTCACAATGAGCAGCCATTGTGTCAGCTGACGTCGACTGCGCTGCGCTGCGCTTCGTTTGCGGTTTTGGGCTGTCGCGCCTCACCCGCGCAGCTGCAGCTGCATGCATTCCACTTGATTTTCCAGTTCTTGCATGTTTATGAATCATCCAACAGCCGCAACAGCAGCAGCAGCAGCGGCTGCGTCGACAATGGCGAACAGCACGCACATTGTTGTTGCAGCCTAGGCTGACATTGAATGCAGCTTTGTGTTAGTGTCAAAGAGCGAATGGGAGAGAGGGAGAGAGGCAGACGTGCTGCTTCTTCGCTCGCCACTTGGCAAAAATTCAATAGCAGTAACAGAAGCCAAGGTAGCAGCAGCAGCGCAGCAGCAGCACCAACAAGAAGAAGAACAACAAATTGCATAAATCTGTGCGACAGAGAAAGCAATAAGAAAATACATAACAAAAGGAAATGGCATAAACCGGCAGCACGGTGCCCGGCTTCAGAGCAAAAGAATGCGGCAAGCCGAAAGCTCTGTTAAATTAATGTTGTTGTTGCTGTTGTTGTTGTTGCTGCTGTTGTTGTTTCTGGCGAAAAAAGCGGCCGAGTCAAAGTGCCAAAAAAAAAAAAAAACACGAGCTAAGAAAAAGCGAGAAGCAAAGCAAAAGAAATGAAAGGTGGAATGCGTTGTTGTTTTTTGATTTTATACACTCGCCATGTTATTTAAATGAACTTCAGCTTTTTACCTGGAATTGATTAGAGTTTGGCAAAATTAAATAAAAATCGAAGTTTGGCATTAATTAGAATACGCGATTAGATATGGCGGCAAGTCAATAATAAAGAGATCATACATAAGATTAGATCACAGAGATATAAAGTAATTAGAGCTTTAACTTAAAAACAAGAATGAAAAACAAAGTGCGGGTAGTCGACCTTTAAATACCCTAGAAATTACATTCCCTGGCATATCAAAACTTATTATATAGAGCACGATCATATAGTAGTTCGATGTTGATAAGATATGGCTAATATGTGGCAAGCATAATAGAGCTTCGTAGGATCCCAGATATATTCAAAAACTATGCTTACTTCTACTTGGCCAATTTGTATATAGGGTATAAAAGCAGAGTAAGCCAACGTTATGCGAAAAGAGTAGCATTTTATTCGCTTTGAAGTATTTTTTTAGAATTCTCCTCAGATCCAAGTAATGTTAAGATACAGTTCGGTAAAGAAGCTTCCCACTTCTTGTCCAATTTGTAGGGTAGCCTTTTATTCGCTATTATATATTTTTAGAATTCCCGCTAAACATCTTCAACTGCAATGATCTTCCGCTTGCCATAAAAACCCGAAAAACATGCCATCAAAATCACGATCACGAGTATCTAATCAAAAATTGCGACACACGGTAGCATTTTATTTCTTTTCTTGTTTTTTATGTTTTCTTTTTACGGATTATTCATTGGGAAATTCGTGGCTATTTTCACAAGATTTTTCAATCGGACACACTCGACGAACAGAAAGCCCAAAACGAAAATCAAGCTAATGAACGTGAATCACAGTCAGCTTTTCGTTTTGGGGCACGAGTTTCCCATGTTCTTTCCCAAGCCCACTTTCTTATCAGTCGGGCACCTATTCGAAGGGGGGTCTGTCGGTCGGAAGGGGGGGGGGGGGTGGTTTGCCCCCTATTAGCAGTCGCTATCTCTTTGGCCCATATGCACGCATTTAAACTGGAATCTTGAAATGCTGACGCCTCAACTTTTGACTGATAAGCGAGGCAATCATTTGTTGTGCTTAGCGAGGGGTGAGGGGGGTGCTTAAAGTGGGGGGTGGGCAGGTCTGCTGACGACACGACGCGTCGTCTTATCGCCGCGCTGTCATTCAACGTTGCGTTGTCTGTTTGTGGCTCTCTCTCTCTCTCCCTTTCTCTCTCTCTCCCATTAGCTCTGCCGCCCGCCCCCGCCTTGGCAGCTTGCCCAGTGTGCACTTTATCGCGGCATCGTGCTGCTTCTTCTTTCTATACCCTGTACTTGCTGGCGATGTGCCAGTTAAGGGGTATATTGCAATTGTGCAAATGTTTGTAACGCTACTTTCAATAACATTCCCAAGTTGATGATTATTCAGTTATCGATTTTTTCTTAAAATCGATAAATATCGCTTTACAGTTTTCAATGATTCTTAAAAGATCATAATGTACTATTTAGTTTGTCTATATATATTAAAGTTTGTCGTTTAAGATATGGAGAACATGTTTATCTCTTTCTTATCCGCTCATCCGCTCTTTTTGTACAAATCGATAAATATCGATTTACAGGCTTTCACTGATTTAAGCGTTTCTTAACAGATCAGAGAAGCTACAAACTGTATATGTATTGAAGAACATGTTTTTAACTATTCCTAATTCATTCCTCCCGCTAAAGAGCCTAATTTCGAAAAATCGATAAATATCGAACTGCTTTTTGAGCATTAATAGAGCTGGAAGCAATTAATTTGGTGCGCAGATTCAGTGTACTTCACTTTTGGAAAGCTTGCCCTGACTACAGGGTATCTCCCAGTTGATCACCCGCAACCAGCAGCAATCTTGATATTATTTTTTTCCTCGGTGTTTTTGACTTTGTTTTGTTTCTGTTTTTGTCTCTTTTATTTATTTGGTTTTCCTGTGAAGCATTTTTGTTTATTTCTTCGCTCCGCTGGATTTCTCTTTGTCTCTTGCGCCAAAAGGGGCAGTTGAGTCGCACGTCAATGCAAATTTGTTGTTTAACCCACAGCAGAAACAACAACAACAACAATAACAAAGGAGACGAAAAACAATAAGTTCTCAAAATTTTAGACACGTTCGAGGCCAACTTCCTTTGGCGCTTCGTTTGGTTCCATTTCTGAGTGGCTTGTTTAATTTCCAAACAGATTTATGGGTTAAATAAACGATTTTTGATTAGTTCGAATTTGCTTTTGGTTTTTTTCGGGCTTTTCCTTTACTGCGGGCGACATTTGAGATATTTCGTTCCGTTTTTCTTTCTTTCGAGAACAACACGAACTTTTATGGCGTCACATTCGATTCGGGCAGTTCGTTTCCCCGATGCCAGCTGTTGATAAACATTGTATAAAATTCTTTAAACAATTTTTGCCTCTCCCCATAATTGTGTCGTGCACCCAGTTCTTGTATTAGTCATTCTGGAACACACACAATGTGTGTGATTGACTGCATTGAGAACACAGAAATGTTCTATACACATAGCTCGTAATACACAGCTTTGCACGAGTTTTAGGTTCCAGCTCGGGTTTCCACTTGTTTTTCGCCTTTTGGTGTGGATTACAAAAGTTTATCATATAATTCTAGCTTTTACGGTTTGTGATATGTGTTGCTTATCAATCAATTAACTAGTCAGTCAGTCCATAAGTTAATAAATCAGTCTGACAATCGTCTAATCAATTAGTAATTCAATAAATCCATCAATTAACCAGTCAGTGAGTCAGTCAGTCCATACGGCAGTCAGTCAGTCAATTAGTAAGTGAATCAATCGGTCTATCATTGAATTGGTCTGTGAATCAGTAAGCCAATCAGTCATTCAATCAAACGCTCAATCAAGCAGGCAGTCTATATCTAACTTAGTCAATCAATCATTTGATTAACCAGTCAATCAATTTGTAATCCAGTCAATAAAGAAGTACGTAAGCCACTCAGTCAATCAACCAGAAACTTTCCAGTGGTTCGGTCAATCAATCATTCTGTCGATCAATCGGTCAGTCAGTTATTAAATCAATCAATCAGTCCATCATAAACTTGGTCAATTTGTCTGTCATTCAGTCATTCAGGGACTCAGTCATTAAATGAATCAAGCAATCAGTCAGTCAATCAACTAGTCAGTCAAACAATTAAACAGTTAATTAACCAGTGGGTCATTCAATCAGTCAGTCAATACGGGAGTCAGACTTTTAATAACTTACTCAATCAATCTGCAAATAATTCAAATCAGTGACCCAGTCATTTAATTGATCAGTTAATCAATCAGTCTGTCATCAAATCCGGCACTCAATCAATCAGTCTGTCAATCAATCAGCCAATTTAAAGCTCTTTTAAGAAAAAGATATTATGCACACCTTTTTGCGCAGTGTAGTTCTGGTTTCGGGTTCTAAGTGCGTCTTCGAGGGCAAATCCCTAGAAATGCGCTCGCGCCAACCGCACAAGAATCCCCAGCGAAACGGCAACAACGGGGCCAAGAAATAGCGGCTAAAACGACATTGTTAAAAAGCGTGTAGAAGCCATGACAGCCAGAAAGAAAGAAAGAAAGAAAGAAAGAGAGAGAGGGCAAGGGGTATATCAATAAAATAAAAATATTTATAGTTAATGGTGTGATTAAAATTCAAATAGAATGCAAATCAGAGCGCAAGACACGACACAAGCGGCACGTCACAATAGCAACAGTTAGATTTAGGAGTGAGCTGGAGCGGCTGAGGGAGGAGGGGAACGTAGGGAGACGTTGCGTCGGAAATTATTAGCCGAAATTGGTGTCAAAGCAATAGAAAATGTGCTCGGTCCCAGTGAAAAGTCATAATTTATGCAAAAGACGTAAACAGAGCAACGAACCAAAAGCAGAATCTAAACAAATCGAACTAAAATGCACGAAAAGAACTGTTGACTGTTTGTTTTAGACGAAGATTGAATACCCTTACGATTTGGCTCTCTTTATAAGACTAAAGGCTAGGAAAACTTCGATTAGTCCTTTCGTTCCTTTTTTTGCGAAATCTACTACTACTACTACAAAAATCCCATACATACACGCTTTTCTATGAAAGTTTCCAAAAGATCGGACTCTAAACACCGATCTTAACAAAGAATGAAATAACTTAGCATAATGTGAGGCAAAGGGACGCGACAATAGATTAGCGTAAAATTCAATTTGTAAGCAATCGATAAGAGTCTAAAGATATATATATATAAAATTAAAGAATATAAGGGATATAAATCAGCACAATATAAAAACTTGATAACACAAATTGCATATGCCCACTGCTAGGGTATAAGAGCAACAATACTCTCACTGACGCTTGGCTCTCCGTTTGATTTGAATGTTCGCCTTTCACTTGCAGCGATGCGGCCAAGAATCTCGGCTTCACAGTCATCATTGATATGCGCGGCAATGGCAACTGTTCGACGAACGTGAAGACAATACTGAAGGTGCTGCAGGAGCATTTTAGCGCCAATATTCATAACGTGGTGATCATCAAGCCGGACAATTTCTGGCAGAAGCAACGCGCCTCGATCAGCTCGAATAAATACAAATTCGAGACGCAGACGATATCGATTGAGGCGCTCAACAAGATCGCCGAATCGCATCAGCTAACCTCGGATTTTGATGGCCAGCAGCCGTACGATCATCAACAGTGGACGGACGCACGGCTGGCGATTGAGGATTTCTTTTGGCAGGCCGGCGATATGGCCGATCGCATCGATGATCTGCAGGAGGACCTCAATCGTAACGATTTCGCCGAGGACGTCAGTCTGGCGCGGCACGCCATCGATCATCACAACGAGATGCGCAAAAAGATCACCAAGCTGCCCATCGAGGATCTCGATATGCAGGGCAAAAAGCTGCTCACCAAGATCAACATGGCAGCGGCAACAAATGCTGGCACAGCCGGACAGGTATACCTTCGATCTCCCTATCTATATATATATATACATCGTATGCATACATACTAATCCAACCTCTTTGTTTGCAGTGCGCTGGCGGCGCCGCCACCTCGGACTGCTCCGATTCGGGCACCTCCTCCGCCGGACAGCAACAGCCGGGTACGCGCTCGGCTGGTCACAACAATCCGGACATGTCGGCGGCGATTAACAAGGCGCTGCGTCAGATTGACCTCATCCATTCGGGCCAGGAGCGCCTGCTGATGCTCTGGCAGCACAAGAAGGTGAAGCTAGATCAATGCTTTCAGTGGCGGCTCTTCGAGCAGGACTGCGAGAAGATGTTCGACTGGATCCTGCACAATCGTGATGTATTCCAAATGAGCTACGTGGAGATCGGGCACAACTATTCGGGAGCCAAGCTGTTGCAGGATGAGCATCAGAAATTTGCCGTCGCCTCGATGAATGTCAATGTGAATATTGATCGGATTCTGGCCGTGGCAGCGCGTCTCATCGAGAGTCAACATTATGCGGCGCAGCATATCAAGACGTTGGCGCAGCGCTTGGATCGCACGTGGAAGGACTTCGGCGCCGGACTGGACGAACGCACCGCCGTTCTCCAGCTGAGCGTGCTGTTCCATCACAAGGCGGAACAGTATTGCAATAGCGTGGCCAGCTGGGCGGCCGCCTGCCAGGCCTCGCAGCCGCTGCCCTCGGATATCCAGAGCCTGGAGACGGCGATACGCACACATCAATCCCTGTACGAGGCCATGTGCCAGGCGTACACCGAGGTCCATTCGACCAGCAAGAAACTGCTCTATCAGCTGGATCATTTGGTGCATGTGTGCAATCAGCCGCCGCCGCCGGGCGTGCCCGATCATCGCAAGAATAGCGGTAACAGCGGCTACAATAAATACGAACGCCAGGATCCGGCGGCGGACTATAGCGAAGGTGCCAGCCATGTCCTTGCGGTTATACACCAAATATTGGGCCATCATCGCACGCTGGAGGCCAAGTGGCATCAGGAGAAGATACGGCTGCATCAGACACTGGCGCTGCGTCTGTTCCAGGAGGATGTCAAGCAGGTGCTCGACTGGTTAAAGAATCATGGCGAGGTCTTCTTGCGCAAGAACACAGGCATTGGCCGGAATCTGCAGAAGGCGCGAGTCTACCAAAAATCGCACGAGCACTTCGAGAATGTGGCCCAGAATACGTATAGCAATGCGGAGAAGCTGCTCTCCGCGGCAGAGGAATTGGCGCGCAGCGGCGAAGCCGATCCCAATGAGATCTATTCGGTGGCCCACGAACTGGAGCTGCAGGTGGCCAGCTTTGCGGAGCGCGTCGAACAACGCCGACGGCGACTCGAAATGGCTGTAATTTTCTATACGCACGAGAAGGAGGTCAGCGCCTGGATTGAATCGCTGCGTACGGATGTCAGCACGGATGAGACGCGGTTGTCGCAGGAGAACCTCGAGGGCATTGAGCGTTTGCTGCAACAGTATCGGGATCAGCAGGAGAGCACGGTGAATACGTGCATGACTCTGATTGCCCAGGGCGAGGCGCTGCTGCAGGAGATGCGCGCGCTCGAATATGTGGACAATACGGGCTCGCTGGCCGCGCTCGAGGCCACGCTGGAGAAGCTGAGCAAGCAGAAAATCGAGGTCGAGGAGCTGTGGTCGGCACGCAAATTTCGCGCCGATCTCATCCTGCGTTTGCGCTACTTTGAGCGCGACGCCATGGAGCTGTCCTCGCAGCTGGAGATGTGGTCCGAGGAGCTGCAGCATGCGGATCTGTCGCGCGACTATCAGAAGGCCGAGCAGCTGATACGCATGCACAACGAGTCCGTCACGGACATACAGAACACCACGTACGAGGTGCTGCAGCAGGGCCAGGATCTGTTGCAGCTCTTCGAGAATGCCGGCTTCATATCGATGGCAGATGCCACGCATACGGCGCAAGCGCGCATCGAATATCTGTTGGACTTTTTGCGCGAACGCGAAATCGATCTAGAGGAACTGTCCGAGGCGAAGCGCGCCAAACTGGAGCAGGCCGTGCAACTGTGCCAATTCCAAAATGATGCCAATCAGGTTATCTCCTGGATACGCAACGGCGAGGCGATGCTGGTGGCCAATTTTCTGACGCCCAATAGCCTGCATGAGGCCGAGCAGTTGCGCAAGGAGCACGAACAGTTTCAGGTGAGTTTCAGTTAACTCCAGCTTAGCATATGTTAATGTGACGTTCTTAATGTTAATGCTAACATTAAATATATCTAAATAATGTCTAGTCAAAGCATGTGTTTCGTTTGTATTAACGTAACGCTGTTAATGTTAATGTTAAATTATAAATTTATAATCTAGCGATGTATGTTAAAGTGACGCTGTTAATGTTAACACTAGCATAACAGCACAATTAACATAAAATATTAACATTGTTAACATGTGTATAAGAAAGTTGCCTTTTGGAGGTTCTGCTTAGTGTTACAGTTGAGTATTGACCAACACTTATCCGTTTTCTCTCTCCCTCGCAGATTGCCATTGAGAAGACGCACACGTCGGCTGTTCAGGTGAAATACCGAGCCGATGCGCTGATAAATGCGAATCACTACGATCCGAAGTCGATACGTGAAATCAGCGACGATGTTACCAAAAAGTGGCAGCAACTGGTCACCTATGCCGAGGAGCGGCACAAGCTGGTGACGGCCTCCATAAATTTCTACAAGACCGCCGAGCAGGTGTGCTCCGTGCTGGACAGCCTGGAGCGTGAATATCGGCGGGAGGACGATTGGTGCGGCGGCGGCGGCAGCAGCGACAAGGCGCAAACGATTGTCCAGCTAATATCGAAGCATCAGGAGCAAAAGGAGGCATTCCTGAAGGCCTGCACGCTGGCGCGTCGCACCGCGGAGACATTCCTGAAGTACGCGAATCGATCGCAGCAATATTATCAATATCCGCAGGGCAATTGCGAGGCGCACGTAAAGAGCAAACTGGACAAGCTGCTCACCCAGGAGAATCAGGTGCTCGACTTCTGGACGTTGCGCAAAAAATCTCTGGATCAGTGCCAGCAATTTGTGCTGTTCGAGCGCAGCGCCAAGCAGGCCATCGAATGGATACACAATACTGGCGAGGGTTATCTCTCGTCGCGCACCAATCTGGTGGGCATAACCCGGGAGGAGACGGAAGGTCTGCTTAAGGAGCACAACGAATTTCGAAGCACCGCGAAGGAGACACGCGAACGGGTCAAGCTGCTCATTCAGCTGGCCGACAGTCTTGTGGAGAAAGGTCATGCGCATGCCAGCTCCATTAAACAGTGGGTTGCCTCCGTGGATCAGCGCTACAAGGATTTCAGCAATCGCATGGACAGCTACTGTGAGCAGCTGGAGAAATCGCTGGGCATGTCCGCCCAGCAGCAGTTGCTCCTGCAGCCGGATGGGGATGCAAATAGCTCGATAAGCAGCACCTCGGGCGCGAGCAGCAGCACGGATCGTCATTCGGATCCGACGCTGGAGGCGAAGCTGACCACGTCGGCTAGTTCGGCGGCCAGCAAGGAGATCAACGAGGAGAAACGCAAATCGGCGCGACGAAAAGAGTTCATCATGGCCGAGCTAATGCAGACGGAGCGCGCCTATGTCAACGATTTGGCCACCTGCATCAAGTGTTTCCTCGAGGAGTTTCGCAGTGGCCGGAATGTGCCTGCCGCTCTGCTCGGCCAGGAGGACATCATCTTTGGCAATATCCGTGAACTACATCATTTCCATCAGAAAATCTTTTTGCGGGAATTGGAAAAGTACGAGACCATGCCCGAGGATGTGGGCCATTGTTTTGTCACCTGGGCCGTCAAGTTCGACATGTATGTGCATTATTGCAAAAATAAGCCGACATCCAACAATCTGCTTGTGCAGCACGCGGGCAACTATTTCGAGGAGTTGCAGCGACGTCTTGAAGTGGAGCATCCTCTGCCGGCTTATCTGATTAAGCCCGTGCAGCGCATTACCAAGTACCAGCTGCTGCTCAAGGATTTGCTCTCCTGCTGTGAGGGCAGCCACGGTGAGATCAAGGAGGGCCTCGAGGTTATGTTAAATGTGCCCAAGAAGGCGAATGATGCCATGCATCTGTCGCTGCTCGAGAACTGTGATGTGTCCGTGGATAAGCTCGGCGAGGTGGTGCTCCAGGACGCCTTCCAGGCCTGGGACACAAAGCAAATCATACGCAAAGGACGCGAGCGTCGCGTGTTCCTTTTCGAGCTCTATCTGCTGTTCGCCAAGGAGGTGAAGGAGTCGAATGTGGTCAAGTATCAGTTCAAGAGCAAACTCATGACCACAGACATGGGCATCACGGAGCACATCGAGGGCGATGAGACCAAGTTTGCGGTCTGGACCGGTCGTTCGCCCATGCTCTCCGACTGTCGCATTGTTCTCAAGGCGAACAGTCTGGAAACGAAACAAGTAAATAACTTATTCTCCTCCCTTTTTATTCGTTTACTCATATATTTTTTTATATTTTCCAGATTTGGGTTAAGAAACTGCGTGAGGTCATGCAGGAAACTTGTTTCTCGGGCACCTCGCTGACGTTGCCAAAGTCACCGGCCAAGAATTCGGGCTCCTCGCAGCGATCCTCGCGTGATCTGGACGAGCCACTCACGGAGAATGATCACGATCGCTGCTCCCTCGCTAGCTTTGGCTCGGGCAATACCACAGATAGTGATAATAAGGTGAGTTTTTAATTTTATTTATTCCCACTTTTTCAAATGGCTAACATTAGTTGATTTTACACATTTAACAGTCAATTTGCTTAACAGCTGTTGTCTTAACAGCTTCTGCTTTACAGTCTAAAGCGTAACAGTTGAGTTTACTGTTAACGGCTGTGGCTCAATCTTTTACATTTTGTCTGTATATGTTATAACATAAGATTCAGCAAATTTTTTTAAATGTCCGTTGACAACACTGCCCCCTGTTCGTTTAGCCTTACAGTGTCCATCGGGAAGCTTACAGCTTAGCTGCATTCGAACAGTAGCCATGTCTGTTAATTTATCTATCACCAGCACCTTAACAGTTGATTCGTCTGTTGTCTTAACAGCTTCTCCTTTACAGTCTATATTATAACAGCAAAGTTTACTGTTGATGAATTAATAGTTAATTTTAGTTTAAGCAGCAACCTAATAGCCACTGTTAATTTTTGACTTAGCAGCAGCCTATCAGTTGGTTTGTCTGTGTTATTTTCTTACTAGAGCCCCTTGGAAAAAATTGTACAGCTTAACAGTCTCTAGCGCTGTTAAAGAGCTAAAAGCTCTATGCTTGGTTTTGTCATGTGAAGCTCTTTTGCTTTTATGGTCCTACCTCAAAAGAAACGCGCGTATGCCATTCCACTCGCTCTGCCTCTCTCATGTTCTCACTCTCACCTCGCTTGCTCTCAGCTCATCATTCGGCTTTTAAGGATGCTGCTGCTGCTGACTTACCATTGGCTGTCACTGAACTAGTTTTTCGGCTCGTCGGCAATATGTTTAAAATTCGTAGCCGGATTTAATGAGATTTCTCACGCTGTGCGTGGCTGCGTATGTGTGTGCGCCTGCCAAATTGTATACATGATTGAGGTTTACTCAATGTTTTTTTTTTTATATATTTTTACTGCTGAGACTTGTTCTCTCTTTTAATTGCAAAATTATTAAAGAAATTGAAGGCAAGCAATATTTTGTGCACAACTGCTGTTAAGGTCCTGTGCTAACTGTTTCGGCAAAGCTTTTGCGTGATTTTTGAATAGCTTTTTTGCCGCGCATAGATAACAGTGTATGTGTGTGCGCGAGAGAGAGCGAGAGGAAGGGAGTCGAAGAGAGCTTTTGCCTGACGTACGTTACGTATACGCAACGTTTGGCAGCTGCTAGCGCTAATTGGCAGTTAGTCTTGCTCTCTCTCTCTCTCTCGCTCGCGCTCGTTCGTACTGCCGCTCTCTCGTTTTGAGAGCTTTTCTTCTTTTTTGGCGGTTCGCACGCTGTTTGTTGTTGTGGCAGCTCGCGCCTGTTGTTGTTTTTGCTGTTTACGTTGTTGTCGGCTTCGTTGCGTAGCCGCCGCTGGCTGCTTCTCCAGTTGATTCGCAGAGTTAAAGCCAATAGGTTCGCTGTTTGTGTCGTTGCCGTCGCTGTCGCTGTCGCCGTCGCTGTCTCTTCCTAAAGCTTCGCAGCTGCCTGCAGATGCGCGCCCGGTCAAACGCCCGCGAACGACGCTTCTTGGCGTCTCTGTTGCAGCAGCCCCCCCTACCCCTCGGTCCGTCAAGTGGCCAGTCTTAACTGAAACTGTCGCTGAAAATCGCTGCGCTGCGCTGCGGCTAAGTTTTCCACTTCAAACGAAATTTCCCATTTTCCTCTCAAATTTCGAGCGGAAACAGCGCAGGAAATCCAACAAAAAATAAAAACAAATAAATATCAAAAGAAACAACAAAAAAAAACTCTTCTTAAGTGGCCAACAAATTGCTTTTAATCAGCTGATAAGATAAACTGTTTCTGAGTATGCCAAGTGTTATATCTATAAAAAAAAAAAAATTATATAAATAAATATTTGTAAAAGTCAATAAACAAATCAAACGATAAATTCAAGAATTTCAAATCAAATTTCTAGCACAAAGCCAAAGCCCAAGCCCAAAATCCCACAGGAATATGCCAGCAAAAAAAAAGAAAGACTAAATTGTTATAAACAATATTTTAGCGTAAATAAATATAAATAAATTAATGTGCAGCCGATGTCAACAAACAGAATTTAAAACACGCCTGGCCGAAAATAAATAAATACACACAAGTATTTTTCATAAATAGCTGCCACTCAAACTAAATGCAAAAACCTCTTAAAACCATCAAAACATATTTAACTAGAAAAATGCCGAATATGAAATACACTTTGCTGAAGATATCTTGAAGAGCAGAAGATTTTTTCTTATTAAAAAAATCATGTTTCGATAGTAGATAGTAGTCCGAAGTTAGGATTTGGATCAAAAAAATGTAATGAAGTTGTCTTCAAGGTCTAAAAAGTGCTTAGAAAGCTCTAAAACTGAGAGACTAGTATTTTCGATGTTGATCAAGAATATATACTTCATGACAAAATGAATATACCCTCTGTCAGTGTATAGAAAAGTAGTATAGAAATGTATTTGAAGGCATTATGGATGCTGCTTATAAAAATGTCTGCAGCTAAGCTCCTGGGCGGTGGGGGCTTGGTGGCAAGCCACGCCCCCAATTCCATGCACAATTTGCGCTGCCTTTGACCTTTTTCACGCCTTTAGCTACTTGAGTAGCAGTTTTATTTGGCGATACGTGTTTTCGCTTTCATACTCCCCGTTTCTCTTCCCTTCTCTCTCTCCCTCCCACACTTGGGCCACAGACTTGAGACTCTTTGGTTTTGGGTCCTCGCAAAGTGCCGCTGGCAACTGAGCTGCACTCCACGCATATTCATAATATTGATAAATATGCTTCATAATATTGATAAATGTTGAGACATGCTTTTTGGGGCATAAGTAAAGAATTATGGCTGATAGATGCAGCCAATTTGGGGTGGGAGTTATCATATAGAGGCTGTCAAAAGTATCTCACCCCCAAAGATTGGAAGAGGAAAACTTTTTTCAAAGGTAGAGCCTTGCCACAATTAGGCATTGTAAAGTTTAAAACAGATCGGACTATGGAGAACTAATTTAGAATATATATTTAGAATTGGGCTGGTTTCAGGGCATTACCTAGTCGTATCAATTATATTTTTTTAATTCTCTTTGCCCAAAAGCTAGAGCCTAACGCTTTTGTATACACACACTTTGAAAATTTAAAACAGATCGGACTATAGAGCCCGAAGTTATTCAAGAGCGTTATTCTCAAACATAGTGTGAGGCAATCGAAAGAATAAGCTGTTTTGTGTGTAAAGATAAGTTGGAATATTGTAAATCGCAAATGGGCTTAGTTCAGGGCATTTCTTATTCGTCTACTGCCAACTAATGCACTCTTATTTTTATACCTTTTTTCAAATTCCCTATACAATTAATTGCACGCCAAGCTTAATGCATTTTAAAACAGTGCGGCATCGGAAATGTTGTACAATTGTTGTTGCCATGACACGACATTGTTTTGGCCGTTATAATTATTATGATTGTTGCTGGTTGTTGCAATTTAATTTCGTGTCAAATGGGCTCGGTCAATTTCTATTCAAAGTACAACAATTTACAAACTAAATACTATAGATATATATAAATATTTCGTGTATGCATTTTGCAGCTGCTGTCGAGCAAAAAATAATGCAAAAGATATGTTTTATAGACGAAGCCTTACAAGATGCGAATAATTTGCAGTCTTGGTTTAAGCGCAAGAGATTTATTGCCAGAATTTGCATGCTAGAAAAAGCGTAAAACGTTCTGTTTAAGTTCAAGTTGATTTATTTTTGTTTCGAACTTTCAAAAAGCTGCAAATTTAATTTAATTTTAATAATTGTTTTTATTTGATTTCCCTTTTCGCAACTTCCGCTTGGACATTATGAACTTGATTTCAAATGCGAACCAGCATCCGCTTTGTCGCAGCCCTCCGCCCTTACCCTTTGCGTGGCGCTGATGTGCGCATTCATTTGCACAAATTGAATTAACTTGGCTTTGGAGTGAATGTTATGAAAGTATTAGCAGCTCAGCTGTGCTGTTTGTCAGATCCAACGACAGAATCTGTCAAGAGATGTCCCCGTTGTTGTGCTTCTTCTTGTCGCTATTATCCAGAACTTATTGAGTGCTGGCTAAGCATAATGATTGTGTGCATTTCCAACAAAATAAGTAAGATATTTTTTGTCGAGAGACTTGGAGACGTGACAATTAATAGATATCTTCCTGTATAACATGCACTGAACGCACGAACGGACATATGAATTATTCTCAATATTTTCCATATTCTGATTATCGATAATTATCGATTTTTTGTAGGTTATCATGCAGTATATCAAGATTGTAAAGGCTAATCCTTGCGTCTTAGAAAACAATGCATAGAACGAGCCCAACATTATTTTTCTCGATATCTTCCATTTGCAAACTCGATATTTATCGATTTTGTGTAGGTTATCGTTCTGTATATCAAGATTGTAAGGGTTAATCCCTTATCTTGGCATGTTCACACTTTACGCCATATTTTAGCTGTGAGATCGGACCAAAAAGATTTTCGCCTGTGCTTAGTGTATTTTCTAGTCGTATACTCCCGACCAAAGCACTCTCGTTGAGACTCCTTCTCGGCGCGTGTGTGTTATAAAGTGGCAAAGTTTTTAATGCCGTTGGCTACAAAATTTTGAAGCTCTTTGCGTAGATCCCAACGATTTTCCCGCTTCGTGCCGATGCCCCGTAGCGCACAGCTGTTCGCTACGCATTTTCCACATTTTCCCCGCACATTTTCACAGTATTCAATTTGCTTCTTTTTTTTTTTTTTTGTATTTTTTTAAAAAATGGCCTCTGCGAATTTCCACCAACATATGCCAATTTTCACGCGTACGCTAAAGTTAACGGGCGTCTATTTAACCTTTCATTTTATTTAAATTTTAAATACCCTACTCAAAACTGAGCATATTGTTTGCGCTAGTTTCTGATGGACAGCTTCTTGTTGATTTCCGCTTAGTTTTTAGCTTTTGGTTTGCTAAATTGTTATCTGGCTGTAAATTTATCTGATGAATCCCTGAACTAATATGTCTGAAGTACAGATGTTCGTTTGTGCTTTTTTCA